GTCTCGCTATGCAGTTCAGGCTGGGCTTAAACTCATTTTGTAGCCCAGGCAGGTCTCAAATTTGCAACAAGCCTCCTGCCTCAGCCTCCTGAGTGCTGGGATACAGGCCTGCACCACCACACCTGGCTGGAGATTTGTACTAATTTAATTTTACCAATAGAAATGTACCTCCCATATAGCTCTAATCATTTTTATTCATCTTGCAACTGAATATGTTACAAATCCATAAAACATTGTTACAATTCTTTCGTTATATAATTTTGTGGGGTTTGTTGTTGTTTTGCTTCTAGGAATCCAAGTCCTGGCAGAGGACTCCACAACTGAGCTATATCTCCAGTTCTATTTAACATCTTTTCAATCTTCTAAGACACTGAGATCACTTTAGAACTACACCAACCCTGGCCTCAACTTCTGCCCTTAGCCTTAGCCAAGCTCAGGGCACTTCCCCGGGCTCCTACATTTTTAAGTCCTTTTGAACTTAGGTATGGCAGGCCATTCTTACTCCACAATCTTCCTACTCCCCAAAGTCTCCTTCCTCTTCCTGACTACAACCCAGTCCTCTCCTCCAACACCTGCTACAACAACATGCTGATATCTGTCTCCCCCAAGCCTCTGAAGGGACCAAATCAGATCCTCCCATATCCCCAGGAGATCTAATTTATCTCAAACGTTCTAAATCCACAGGACTACAACCCAGGTGGAGCGGCCCCTACCTTCTTGGCAACCCCTACATCGGTCAAAGTTGCTGGACTCTCATCCTGGTTCCACATCTCTCAGGCTGAGGCCCTCCCAACCCTGAATCTAACCGTCCTGAGTGGTCATCTCATCTTCTGCTGCCCACCCGTCTCCGTCTCACCAAGGCCTCACAGCCACAACTCTCAGGCTAAGTCATGTTTTGTTATCCAAATTGGTTCCTAATTTCTTACATTCTATTAATTATCCTTTTTACAGCAGGACTCATGACAGTCTTTCCTAAAGACTTCCACATCATGTGTAAGAGTGCCTTCATGTTGTTCTATGTCACAACTGTCTTAGTTCTCTCAACCCTCAGCTGTTCAGTCAAACGTGCGCTCCCTGTGGGCCTAGGCTCTTATCTCCCTTACAGTGACGCAGTCACGGCCCTCCCCAGCCCTTTTATTCTTTCCAGCTCAACTCCTGGAGCAGAGACAAGCCCTACCTACCTACACTTTTAACTTTTACCCTTTAAGATGAGGGAAATAACTACCTCTCATAACTTCACTCTTCCCAACCCCACTTATTTTTCAGAATTCCACTTTACCGCGGTCCTGATGGAACGGCATTTTTTTTTTTTTTTTTTTTTGCGGTACAGGGGATCGAACTCACAACCTCAAGCTTGCCAGGCAGGTGCTTATACTGTTGAGCTAAATCCCCAGCCCGGAACGGCATATTTAAATCAAAGATCTTTTTCCTTTACCTCCCCTGGGTCCTTAAATATGACAGTGGTCTGCCTCCTCATAACACCTTGTCTGTTTTCCCAGTATAACACGCAGACATTCACCAATGATGAAGTTGTCCTGGCTGAAACACCTGGTACCACCTTCTACATGGGCATCAACCATCATCCTGTCAGCCCTCCTGAACCCCAATACGACACTCCCTTTCAGCAGGAAGTAGTAAGACAGAGACTTTGTCCTTTTCCTAACAATAAAAAGATGGGAATGAAAGATTCTTGCCTCAGTAGAAATCATGGCATTGGTCTAAGGAGGCAGAAGGCCAAAGCAGAAAGCCTGCCACTTCCTGCTTCTTCCTGAACTGCTTCTTGCGCGCAAAGAGAACTCCAATCGGCTGCTCCTACATCAGCAATGCTGCCCTAAGCGCCACCCCAGTCGGAAATTATACGCATGCCCAATGCCCCATGCTTCAGGCAGAGAAGGTCAGGCTCCAGCGGTCATGGAGTTCTCTCCTCATCCTTGGAATAAAGGCTATTTTACTTTATATTCTCTTTTATTGTGCCGAAAACCATATCAAATACTAACTATACCTTTTTGTTGTTTTTTTGAGACAGGGTCTTGAAATAGAGTTCAGATTGGTTTTGATCTCACTATGTAGCCAGCCTCAAACTTGCAGTGATCTTCCTGCCTCAGCCTCCCAAACGCTGAGATTACAGGCTTGTGGCACCATGCCAAGCAACTGTACTTTTAAAAATTTGAAATATGTTACATACATGTACCAAACCCCTACAGTGAATATAATCATTATATACTACAAACGTGTTCTAACAAAAATTTTAAATAAAAACTTTTTTTTTTTGGTACCAGGGATCGAACTCACGACCACATGCTTGCAAGGCAGGCACTTATGCTGCTAAGCTAAATCCCAGTCCTGAACAAAAATTTTTCTAGAAGTTTCCCTAGAGTTTTCCATATATATATTTGCAACTAATATAAGTCTACTTTTCAACTAACACTGCACTACTTTACAAACAGTCCACGTATCTCATGACAAAGTATTTCAGATTCTCCCCTCCTGTGCCTGAAATCTCTATCATTCATTCCCTATCCGCCCCTTTACTTAGCAAATATATGGCTGCTATTATTTTGAGCAAACTATCATTAGACCAGCCAAGAATTAGAAAACAAAGTGTATTTCACCACTGTGTATTCCTTCATGACAGTTTCCTTTTCTTCATGGTATAGACCTGAGTTTTGACCTGTGGTTTCCCTTCCTCCTGAAAAGGTTTCTAACCTCCGTCAGGGCGTCTCCCCCACTTCTGGTTGCCTGAGAAGCTACAGCCTGGTGGATTTTTCTCCCGGCACTTCAAGTGTCCCGCTCTTGCTTCTGGGCCTTCTGGAGACAAGTTGAATGGCATTCTTGTCTTTGTCCTTGCTCTCTGTGAAGCTTTTCCTCTCTCACTCTCTCCTTCTGCTTCTTTCAAGATTTCTTTCCTGCCTGGCATGATGGAGCGCCCTGTAATCTCAGCACTTGGAGGCTGAGGCAGGAAGATGGCCGCAAGTCTGAGGCCAGTCTGGGCTGCACAGTGAGTCAAGGGCCAGCCTGGGCTGCATAGCTAGGTTCTCTTTCATTTTCTGCCATTTTAATGTAAATCCCTACACACACTTTTTAGAATTCATCATGCTTGGTGTGTCTGGAGTATTGCTGTAACTATTTCTTTGGTTTCCCTTTTCTTCTCCGAATATTCCCATGTATTTTAAATGTGAATTTATTATGTTTTAATTACCTTTATTGGTCCACTGTAGGTACACATGATGATCTCATTCATTATATGGAATCTGTACCGGCCACGGTGTAACTTCAATCTTTTCGTCCCATTCCCCTTCCCTCCAACGCCTCTTCCCCTCCTTACTTACAAAAGCTTTGTTTCATTTCCTTTCATTAGTTCTGTTCTCATCATGTTTTCCTTTCTCTTCTTTCTATGCCTCCCTCTCCGTAGTTCCTCTTCTCATTTGAACATTTCTTCCTAATCTTCACAATATCTGTTACACATTATGGCCCTTATTTACACTTTTATTTCTCACACCAGAGGAACAATGTGGTGTTTACATGTGTGCCCAATTTACTTAACTTCAGAGAATGGCATCAAGTTGCATCCATTTAGATAAAAATGTCTTAACCTTACCCTTCTTTATGGCAGAGTAGTACTCCATCGATTTTTTTAAAGCTCACATCGTCCTTATCCATTCCTCAGCTGATAGGCACTTGGGCTGTTTCCAAGATTTAGCTATCACAAAATGTACCTCTGTAAACAAAGGTCTGCATATATCACTGTGGTATGATGCTGTTAATTCCTTTGGGAAGATATCAAGAAGAGGAATGGCTGGGTCAAATGGGACCTCTAGTCCTGGTATTTTGAGGAATCTCCACACTGATTTCCATAGTGTTTGCACAATTCTTCACTCCCACCAACTGGGGAGAAGGGTTCCTTTTCCCCCACAGTCCCTCCAGTATTTGTTATTGGTTAATTTTTTTGTAATAGCCATTCTTTCTGGGATGAGATGGAGTCTCAGATTTATTTTAATTTGCATTAAATGTGAACTTACTGTGATGAAAAAATTTAATAAAATGTAGTTTGCATAAGTGTATAAATTATAAGAGGACATCATGATTGACTTTCACAGATGAACAGAACATTATCAGCCTCCTATAAGCTCCTTACAACCCTACTACAACCCTATCTACTCAGTATCTTGACTCTAACAATATACTATACTGTACATTCGTTTTTCTTTTAGAAATACTTCATGTGAGGCTACAGCATGGTGGAGCAGACCTAGAGTCCCAGTTACTGAGGAGGCTGAGGCAGAATGATGCTTGAGTCCAGGAACTTGGGGCCAACCTAGTCGACTTGAAGAGATTGAAGAGATTTTGCGTTTTTCGGTGGTGAGGGTACCGGAAATTGAACTCAGGACCTCACGCTTGCTAGGCAGGTGCTGCACCACTAACTAAATTCCCAGCCTCGACCTTCTGTCCGTAAATTAAACAACTTTCTGTAAAGAGGAGTCACATAGCACAAACTCTTGAATGCCTGCCCCCTTGCACTGCATCTGGTGTTCGAGAGCCTTCCGTGGTGTTGGGTACAGCGGTAGTTTATTAGTTTTCAATGGCGTGTAGTGTTGCATTGTGTGGATTTAACACAATTTGCTGGGTGTGTGCCACCACACCTAGCACTCGGGAGGCTGAGGCAGGAGGATCACAGTGAACTCGAGGCCAGTGTGAGCCACAAAGTGAGTTCAAGCGCCACCTGAACTACATAATGAGACCCTGTTTAAAAAAAAAAAAAAAAAGATGATTTGGTTCAGCGGCATAAGCACCTGCCTAGCAAGCATGATGTCGTGAGTTCGATTCCCGGTACAAAAAAAAAAGAAGAGTTGCAGATCTCACAGTCCACCTCCTTGAACGGCTCGCCTGGACCTTGAGCTGTATCCAGGTATGGGCTGCGACGAACACTTGCGCTCTGAGCACTTTTGTGGGAGTCTTTCCGGAATTGCGGACAGCGTTCTGCAGTGAAACTGCGGGGCTTCCCGTGTTCCCACTAAATGGCGTGCTCCGCGTGTATTCTGCCCTGCGAGCCGGCCAGCCCGACCCTCCGGGCCCTCCACGCACAGCCGGGCCCGAGCCTCCGCCGGGTCCGGGCGCGGGGCGGCGCAGAGCCGCCGGCTGGGTCCGCAGCTGGGCTCGGGGGCCGCCGGGAGCGGCCGGGCGATAAGAGCGCAGCGGGGCGCGGCGGGCGCAGCCCCATGGCCTCGGGCGCGCCCCCTGCAGCCGGCTCGGGGCCGCGGGCGCCGGGAGCGGGAGCGGGAGCTGCGCTGCGCCTCGGGGACGCCCCGGACGCGAACCCCCGCTGGCCTCCGCTGCGGCCGCCCGAGCCCAGGCGCACCCCCGGGCCCGGGAGACCCCCGCTGCCCCGACGCCGGGCGAACTCGGAGCCCGCGTCCGCCTGCGCCGCGCCCGCCTCCCCGGCACAGGCTCGGGCCCCGCCGTACCCCCGGGCCCTGCCCTGCGACCCCCGCGGGCCCCTGGACGAGCGCCGGCTGCTCGCGCACCTGCAGGTGGCGCTGGAACGCGAGGCGCGCCTGTGGCGGGGCGGGAGCCTGCAGGTGCCCCGGGAGGGACGGGGTCCCCGGGGAGGAGGGGTCCGCGGGAGGGACGGGGTCCCCGGGGAGGAGGGGTCCGCGGAGGGACGGGGTCCCCGGGGAGGAGGGGTCCGCGGAGGGACGGGGTCCCCGGGGAGGAGGGGTCCCCGGGAGGGACGGGGTCCCCGGGGAGGAGGGGTCCGCGGGAGGGACGGGGTCCCCGGGGAGGAGGGTTCCGCGGGAGGGACGGGGTCCCCAGGGAGGAGGGGTCCCCTGGAGGGACGGGGTCCCCGGGGAGGAGGGGTCCCCTGGAGGGACGGGGTCCCCGGGGAGGAGGGGTCCCCTGGAGGGACGGGGTCCCCGGGGAGGAGGGGCCCCCTGGAGGGACGGGGTCCCCGGGGAGGAGGGGTCCGCGGGAGGGACGGGGTCCCCGGGGAGGAGGGGCCCCCTGGAGGGACGGGGTCCCCGGGGAGGAGGGGTCCGCGGGAGGGACGGGGTCCCCGGGGAGGAGGGTTCCGCGGGAGGGACGGGGTCCCCAGGGAGGAGGGGTCCCCTGGAGGGACGGGGTCCCCGGGGAGGAGGGGTCCCCTGGAGGGACGGGGTCCCCGGGGAGGAGGGGTCCCCTGGAGGGACGGGGTCCCCGGGGAGGAGGGGCCCCCTGGAGGGACGGGGTCCCCGGGGAGGAGGGGTCCGCGGGAGGGACGGGGTCCCCGGGGAGGAGGGGCCCCCTGGAGGGACGGGGTCCCCGGGGAGGAGGGGTCCGCGGGAGGGACGGGGTCCCCGGGGAGGAGGGGTCCGCGGAGGGACGGGGTCCCCGGGGAGGAGGGGTCCCCTGGAGGGACGGGGTCCCCGGGGAGGAGGGGCCCCCTGGAGGGATGGGGTCCCCGGGAGGGATGGGGCGCTGCTCCGGGCGCCCAGGTCCCCTCCTTATCCCGCGGCCGCCGTCTCCTCCTCCCTCCCTCCCTCCCTCCCCAGCGACCCGAGGTCCGCGACGCCTACCGGGGAATGGCGGTGTGGCTGCTGGGGCTCAGGAGCAGCCTGCAGTTCTCCAGCACCACCTTCACGCTGGCGCTGTCCATCTTCGGGCGCCTCCTGCTGGCCCGGGAGGTAGGCGGCTCGGGGCTCCCCGGGGGACCCCCCAAATCCCCCAGCTTGCCGGGCTCGGTGACCTGTGGCCCCCGGGGTTGGTCCTGGCTGGCAAAGACCTTCTTCCCGCAGGACGCGGCGGGACGCGCTGGTCAGGACCGGCCTGGCAGGGCTTCGAGGCCGGACTGTGTCCCCGAGCAGGTACCGCGTGGCCCACCTGGTGCCAGGCCCCCGGACAAGGGAGCACCACTGGGTGTATCCTCCTCGGGCACTAATCTCCCTTCAGTCCCATGGAGGAATGGGGTGGGGTTTATTTTCTTTACACACCCCCACCACCCCACCCCCACCCCCATCCTGTCCAATTTGTTTCTGGAGCGCGCCCCATGTGCTCACGCTGCAGGCCACAGCATATGCGCTCCGGTGCGCGGTGATTGCGTGTTTAAGGCTCGCTGCGAAACTGAATGAAGAGGATGAGGTAATGGCTCCCTGGGGTGCACGCGGGGCTGCACCTGAGGGACTGGAATGTGTGACCTTGCAGTGCACGGGGTCCCCAAGAGCTGATGCCCTCGGGGATGGTAGGCACTTTGGAAACGTCGCTGACTCCTGCGATCTCTGCTCACCCGCTTTCTTGGGAGACACTCAGACCCCCACAAGCAGAAAGCAGAACAGCGGGACCCCCTACCCCTATGCAGCAGAAGCCGAGCCCTCATCTGGCCTTGCTGGTTGATGCTGGCCAGGTAGACACAACCTGCCCCCAACATTGGGGCCTGCCGTTGAGCTGTGAAGCGAGCGTCCTGTAAACCAGGTGGTTTGAATTTCGCCCCTAGAAAACTATGTCTTCTAAAAGCTGCTTGGGACTTAAAGACAGCTGGGTGTGGAACTCGGTCCTTGGGACTGCGACACCTTTCTCTGGGAGCTGCAGGACAGCTGTGTGTTCGGCCACCTGAGTCTCACTGTGGCTTTCTGCTTGGGGGACACTGTCGCACCTGGCTCTTCTCAATCCTCTCCCACCTCCTCCCCGACCTCTTCCACCGTGGTGATGGGGAAATCGGGACCATTTCCAGTCTCCCTGGGTTGATGTGTGGGTCTGAGGAAGCAGGGGGAAAAGGGTGTCCAGTTCAATACATTTGATTAAAAAATGTCAACCCTTGTTTATTAAATATAACTTGTACCCTAGCGGCTTTTGTTCAACAAAAAATCCAAGTAAATGACCCTTAAAGGAAGCATCTCTGGAAGTTATAGCTGTATTCTGCTCAGCTACAAAAAGTGAGACCGAGTCTTGAATGCACCTGGTACTTTAATGTTTACTCACAGACAACCTTACCTAGGCCCCCTGGCTTACTAAGTCCCTCTGGGGAAGTCAGTTTCCTAGCCTGAACCGCACTTTCAGTGAAGGTTGAAGGGAAGGCATGTGCTACAAAAACCACGGGAGGTTTTCTCAATGCGCCCCTTGGGAAACCCAAAGGCCTCAATTTCCTCTCTCTAAGTAGCCATGACAGGGCTGGGGCACAGGCACGGCAGCTCCATGGCTCCTGGAAAAACTTGGGTAAGTTGTTGTGGCTGACCAGAGATGGCACCGCCCCGGCCTCCAGAACACCCGAGTCCGAGCCCCATGTTGCAACTTGCTGGGGGAACCGGCAGCAGCTAAGGCCCGGGTGGCGTTTCCTCGAAGACATTTCCTATGGCAGGCTGCTGGATGACATCTCTCCTCAGGTCATGGATACCCAGGCCCCAGAGATAAGAAAACAAAAGCTACTGTGATATGATGTAGGCCTTTGGCCTCTTTATTGTCTTTTTTACAGTCAATTCCATGTATAACGGACTTCGTACAGCTCTGTGGCTCTCCCTATCCCGCGAGTGAGCTGCGGAGGATGGAGCTGTCTATTCTGAAGGACCTGCACTGGGACCTCCACATCGCGACACCTCTGGACTTCTTGAATATAGTAAGCGTGAGGCAGCTGCAGAGTCTTCCTTAGACTCCTGTGTGCCTTTGGGACAACTGTTCACAACACAGGACAGCAAAGCACAGATGTGCACAGCACAAGTGTGCACGGGTCTTTGCACATGCACCACGGTGAGGTGACCCACTGGGCTCACTGCTTACAGAAGAGTGAAAATGCGTCTTCCACCAGCCTCTCATTTCTAAAAGGTCATTAAATTAACTTAACAAAGATATTTAGATGCCACTGCTATGGTGAGTTTCTTCCTAAATACACTGCAAAAATATTTCACTTTCCATTCTATGAATTTTGTACATAAATATCTGTCTGCTTTTTGGCTACACTTTACACACATTCACTTAGCTGTCTTGATTCACCTACACACAATCCTTATTGAAGCTTTAGACCATGTTGATCTGGCACTTAAAAAATATCACACGTTAGTTTGTCTTAGTTGGGGGAATGATGATCATCCTGAAGGATGTGATTGTTAGTAAGGCAAAATTACGCAATGGAAATGTGGTGGGGCTTGGGTCTGTTAGGAAGCAGGAAAGTTAGATCCCTAAGGGCTGCTCCATTGTGAAAACTGGCCACTGTTGCCTTGAAGTCAAGCAGATACAAGTAACTTTTCTGCTACCTTCAACTTGAACACTATGTTTCTCTTTTCCGGCATGGAAACATTTGTCATCTAGATACTTCAGGCTCCTCATGAGGGGATCCCAAAGCAGAGTAATTTTCTCTCCAGGGTTGAAGCTCAGGTTGGCCACAGAAAGGGTCTCAAGCCTCAAGCCACTCTGGGGACCCTGGACAGAAACGAAAAGGATTGGGTCCCATCGGATGCTCCCTGATAGAAAGTGAAATTGTTTGGACTTCCGGTCACGGAGCATGTGAAACTTTATGGGGTCTTCTGTTCTAACATTAAAAACCACGGTCTCTAGTTCCATGCCCTAGTGATGCTGAGCCAGCCCCACGTGATGAGTCTGCTGCCTCAGACGAGTCCTTCCCTCCACGTCGCGTCCCTGACCAGGCAGCTGCAGCACTGTATGGCGGGCCACCAGCTGCTGCAGTTCAAGGGCTCCACATTGGCTTTGGTCATCATCACCTTAGAGTTCGAGAGGCTCGAACCAGGCTGCTGTGCTCCTATGTCTGATCTGCTAAAGAAAGCACAGGTACACATCAACTTTGCCCCAGGCCAAGCTCTCCCTGTACCGCTCAGCTACCACGCTAACCCTACACCAAGGTACTCGGGGCCCTTCTCGCCCATCTGGGCGCCACAAGATGCTCTGGCCGTGACAGCGGTGGCCAGAGTAGGCCTGAGGGCTGGGCAGTGCCCACCTGGCCAGCCTGCAGACCTGGGTGTGGTACACGCTCCTTCACTGGCCTGATGGGGGTGGGTTTCTAATGGCAAAAGAAACGGCTTAGCAACAAGACATCAGCAAGAGGACTGGGGTGGACTCAGGCGGGGCAGCCTCCGGCTTAATGCTGAGCACTGTACATTCTGCCGCGGCCTCTGAACTTCAGGGGTTCTGCTCAGCGGCTGGGCTCTGTCTTAACACAGGTCAGTACTGAGCAGTACAGACACTGCAAGGAGCTGGTCCTGTGGCACCTGGGAAGTTTGTCATCATCCTCCCAAGCAGACAACTAGTCACCTGGTACCCAGCCTCTCTGCCACTGCCCCAGTGGGACAGGGCATAGCGGAAGTCCACCTGGCTCGGACCCCTGTGGATTCTTTGCTTTTACTAATCCTTAGGAGAAGGGTAGCAAGCCCTAGAAGAGCAACTGAGGAAGCTCCAGTCCTCGCAAGCAAAGTGGGGACAGAGAGTGCAGAGGGAAGGGTGTCCCGACAGACAACCCTACCTTCTCCCTCCTGGTGAAACCAGGGAGACCAGAGTGGGCCTTGATCAGGACTGCAGGGCAGGGGCTGGTCCTCACTAACCCTAGGCAAGCAGTAAGCACCTTCGTCCTTGGCCCCTGCACCAGCTGGGGATTGGATCCAGGGCCCTCTGTGCTGACCTCCAGCCCCAGCCCCTTGGATATTTGGGAACAAGGTCTCGCTAAGTTGCCCAGTGATTCAAACTTGTTTCTCCAGCTCCAGCCTCGATTACTCTTAAGCACAGGCATTTCTTGGGCTAACTAGAGGAATGCTGTACAGATGAATGGGCATTACTGGGTACACCTGGGAGGCAGGCCTGGCTCTGAGAGCCCTTTGTTGGGCTGAGAGCGGGCCCTGGGGCCCAGGCTGCTCCACTGCTGCATTGGAGGGGGAGGCTATGCTACTATTGAACCCTCGGTGCACTGCAGCCCAGCTGGGGAAGGTGCCAGCGGGAGCTGTGGAAGCAGCACTGGGGGCCTAAACGACTGGGCCACATGCTTTGGGAGGGGGTGAGGTCTTCCACTGTGACTTTCTGTGATGGCTGTGCAGTGGAGGTGGGGGTGTAGCACAGTGGTCAGGGACCGGACCTACTGTAATCACATCTGTATTATATATAGTCTCTACCCTTTCTTGACACAAACGTTGCTTTTGGGACTTGATGTAATAAAAACTTGTCAGTAATGCTGTCTGGATCTTATCTGCATTTAAGGCTGCTGTGCATTTAGGCTTGCTACAGTCAAACACATGGGGCACGCCCCTCCTCAGTCACCACCAGGCAGGCAGACCTGGGAAGACCAAAGAGTAGGTGGGGAGCTGCAGGGAGGCAGTGTGTCTCGAGATGCCATGGGCTGCGGGCTGCTCATGGCACAGCTGCCCTGGGCCTCCCTTCCAGGGAGGGCACTGGAGCAGGTGGGAAGGAGCTCGTCCTTAAGGTCCCACCAGCCCAGGCACCATGGCTCGGGCTTTGGGGAACTGTTGGGAGGCTCCTGGGCCCCAGCCATAAACTCAGTCCCACAGCTGCTCCCACTGTTGGAAGAAGTGCAGAGCCCTGAGCGGCCCAGTACTGAGTTAAGGGACAGCCCTGCTGCCACGCCTTTAGGCAAATGTTGGAGCTTTGGGGGGGGGGGGAGATGACAATTGTTTTCAAAAAGCTGAGTGCTGCCCAGGTTCGTGTGAGGTCCTGCTCTACTAACATCTCCCAGACATGGTGTCTCCACGGCGGGGCATTAAGGACACAACCTATGTTCCTTTGGTCCCCACTCCAGAGAGGTAGGAAATGGGAGGGAGCCCCGAGGCAGCTGGAGTAGGGGAGACTCAGCACAGGGGACACGGCAGACCTTCCTGGAACTGGCCAACAGCACCAGTGGAGTCCACACTGCTGCTTCCTCCAAGCCTGAGGAAAGCAGCCTCCAGGGGAGAGGCCAGTGCAGCTCGCAAAGGACACCTCAATACCCGCCTTCCCGCCCCAGCTCAGCCCCAGCCTCAGGCCCTGTTCTCTCACTCTGGGTCTTCCTAAGAGCAAAGGAAGTGCCGCCCTCAATGGACTTTCTGCCTGCCCTTAGCGGAGCATCATCCCGCCTCTCTACAGCGATTCCTCCAAAACCTCGCAGCCGGCTGTCAAAGCAGTACTGTAACCACACCTCGTGTGTAGGCTCCCTTCCAGGGCTCCCCTGTGGTGCCCAGAGGCAGCTACCCCCAGGAATTAAGGACATGGACAATCAACATCAGGCCTCCCTTCCAGTCACTTGCTATGTGACCCTGAGTGACAAGGTCACCTCTCTGCCTGGCCTATCTAACAGGGACAGTAATGATGTTTAATTTCAGGGTTAGGATGAACATCAGCAGTGTTAATGCACACACATGTTAGTTGGCCCAGGTCCCCCTTGCACCCCATGAAAGCAGGGTGCACCTTCCTCACGTCCTTCACCTAGTTACCCCAAAAAGATTCACGGGCTGCAGACCACATTTTCTCTTTTCTAACTGTGCCTCTTTCCTCCTTCCTACGCCCTCCCATGGGCGACTCAGAGACGCCCATCACAGGGCTCACTGTTAAAATCCAGTTTCTACAGAAGATTCGCCTCCATGAAGTTTACGGAAAAGACACACTCTTTTACCACAGCTGTAGCGTATTAATAGGCCTAGGACATTGGTTAAATCAAAAGAGATGCCCAAAAAAGACACCATAAAAACTGAAAATAAATGCAAAATTTAATGGGGAAAAAAAAGTACAAAGTGAATGGAGAGGAACAAAACAGTCAATAAATGGAGTAAATGAACTCACAAGTGAAGCAGTTTTAGAAAAACACATTAACATAACAGACTAGCAAGACGCGCTCCCTCAGCCTGACCCAGGAACCCACAGACAGACAGATGCCTAAGTGCAGTCAGTCTGGCCATCAGGAACCCTACTCAGCTCCCAGAGAGAGAGAGCCCACATCCTGGTTGGCTTGGGAGGCTCCAGTTTATGGCTGTTGGTCTGGCATAATGATTAACGGCAACCCCTTTCCAGTCTGGACAAGAAGTTATATGGCAAGTCTACCTCAGACCAACCTGGGTCAGGGAAGACAGGGCAGGAAATGCCAACATGGTCCTACGTGACACCCCAAAATGCTAACAAATGATGAGCAAAGAGGGGTGCATCAGGTCTGCACATGGGGTCCTGCTCCAGGACCGGTGGCTACTTAGAAAATGCCAAGTTTTATGAATTAACTTGGTCTCAGCTCAAACACAAAGAGCAAGGGGAGAGGTACGGAGAAGCTGGCAAACGCTGATGGACCCTGTGGGGGCAGCGCCCACCTCAGAAATACAACCAGCCACAGCGAGGCCTTCCACATGCCCGGGCTGCCTAGACGGGCTGCAGTGGGCAGGTGGCAGGGTCAGCCCCCGAGGCCTGTGAGGCAGGTGTCCCCGCTCTGCTGTAAGCATTGCACCTGCTGGGTCACCACGCCCCACCATGAGAAACACATCAGCTAGGAGAGCGCTTCCGAGGTCAAACTCCGACCCAGGGCCGCACAATTTCAGACCGGAAATGGCCAGCGGAGAAGCAGCTCGCCGTCCACACCTGCCTTCGAGCGGCGGGCTGCTGGTTCTGAGTCAGAGGCACCTGTGAGGCTGATGACGCTCTATCTTCAGGAACCCTTCTGAGGCCTGCACCTAACTCTACATTCCTATTTTTCTGTTTAAGATAGTCCACCTAGATAGTATAAGTTTTCAGGCCTGGTCATGGTGTAACACATGGACAATATTCATTTGGAACATCAATAAAACCTCCTCCACCACAGGCAGGAGAAGCCCCTTACCTGTACAGGCTGCCCCTTTCTGGCCATGCCTTGGTGGATCTGTAAGAGCCCACTTAACTCTTTTTTGCAGGGTGGGGAGCTGAGACAGGGTTTTCTATACAGTGCAGACTAGCCCAGTGATCCTCCTGTCTCAGCCCCCTGAGCACTGGCTCTCCCTCCATCTAACACTCAGTGCAACATCTCTCAGAGGGGCAGGAGGAAGCCCAGACTTGGTCCTGGAAATCAATAAAGCAGGCCGGGCAGAAAGGGGGAACAGTGACAGGAGCAAGCACAGGGGCATGAAAAGCTACCAACCCAGCAGTCCTGAGCACAGCCTCCATGCAGGGAGCGTGCCAGGCTCCGCACAGCACTGCAGCTGCGGCAGGCATCACCTTTGATGTCTCAGGGTGAGAGCCCCGGGTGGCGCCCTGACATTCCCAGGGGCTTGCACCTAGAGCACAGCCACAGAAGAATGCTGCCAGGATTTCCTTACAAAGCTCTTCACAGACTGCAGCCAGAGTGGGAAAAGCCCCCGGGCTGCTAACTTCTTCTCAAATTGTCCTAAATCTATCAAGCAGCTTTTCCTTGTCCTGTCACTCAGCCTAAAAGGAAGAAGCTATGACCCAGGACAGCCACCTCTTCCCCAGAGCCTCTGTGCAGGCAAAGCCAGGTTGATGGGGTCTTACTTAGAGTTAAACACTCGACATACAGGAATAGCATTGGTCCCTCTTCCCAGGTAGCACCTTTGGCCAGAGACCGTGGCTTTGGGCTGCTGTTCCATTTACATTCACAGAAAAACGCTGGCCGAGGCCTTGTTCGCGTTCCACTGTCATTGGTAAAGAAATTTCAAACACTGTCGTTACAGGAAGTTTATTACCCGCCTCTCCCTATATATTATAGGGGTACTCTGTACATAAGAAAGGTTTGAGAGTGTTTTTAGTTTTTAAAAACCAGGGAGTCCGTGTTACTTACGAAAATAATGGGAGAGGATATTATTTGTTTTTATGCTGGTGCCAAAATAAAAATATTTAGAAGTTTCTTAAAGTTATCATTGAAATTAGACTCTAGGTTAGAAAAAAATTAACATGGAGGGGGAGCGGGCGGCGCCTGCAGCACTGTTACCAGACCTCGGGCTGAACAGGGAGCCCTAGCGCCACCGCTGGGCTTCGCCAGAGCGCCTTATAACTGCTCCGTCAAGGGATAGTGACACTGTAAATGGAAGACCAGCCACTGGCTCTGAAAAAAATAAACCTCGTCAGTTTTGGATTCCA